CCATACCCATTACAGCTCGGTCAACGGGAATTATGAGTGAAGATGACTTTTTCAAGGTCATCGGACTATCACACTCTATTCGAAATTGGACCCACAGCCGCCATTCGCTCAACGTAATAAAATTACAAAATAGTATTCATTTTACGTGAAATCATGAAGAAACTGTAGAATTCTGCTAACTATTCTAGCCTCTATGTTAGAAATGACGTAATCAACCTCCTACTGAAATTTTACATTATCTTTCTAAGTAAATTATCATAAATAATATCACAGTAAGAGAGAAATTTACTTCACTTGAGATAACCTTGAATCATAATTCATTTAACCAGATTATTCTCAGTCAATAAACTACATGCATTGCCTTGAGCTCATTTTAATTTATACTTTCACATATGATATCTTATGCACCTTTAGGGGTGGGCACACGAGCGGTCTTGGTCATAGAATTTTGTTGTAGATTTTTGTCGTTGATTAGAGTCCTGAGTAAAATCTTACATGTGCCCATGCTTCCATGACAAGATTATCATGTCCCCAACAGGATTTATAATATCAAACAATTTCGTCTGATAGTTTTATCGTCTGCAAGACAGGCCATCATCATCCAATCAGATTGCTCGGCACATGATTATTGGCATGGTGGAAAACAAGAGATTTTTGTCTCCTCAAGTGCCAGTCGGTGAAATTCTTGACAAGACACCAGTCAGTGACAAAAATCTCTGACCAAGACAGCTCGTGTGCCCACACCTTTAGAGTAAAATCATTCTGAATTTTAGCCTGCAAGTCTGACATGGTATATACAACTAAAACCAGATTCCTAGTCTTGATAGTTATTGAGTTATATTAGAATTATCTCAAATTATTAATAGCCTACATGTAGTATAAAGTCTTTCTGAAAGATTGACAAACCCAGTAGGATAAGTAGGATGCCTTGCCTTGCCAACAATTTCAATAATTATAAAATGAAATGAAATTACTGGAGTTTTACGTCCAACTTTTCTGCATCATGTATGCTAATGAAGACAGTCAACGCCATGCAGGGTGCAATGGGGTAAATTTCAATAATTACAGTCAAGAAATAGAATTAAGTAAGAATAACAGGTATGCTTATCATTTATCATTGAGCTATCCATCTTCAGTAAGACAACAAATTCACATTCCTAAGAGCACATGCTTAATACATGTTTGACTATAGCATGTAATCTGAGATACTAAATTCTTCAACAGAAGTTATCAAACTTCGTCTTACTTAAGAAGATCTAGTCAGACATGACCGGCAAATACAACCTGGAGACCATTGTAATAATGATCTGTATTCAGCTATAGAAATATTATCCAGAAATCTTGCATGAAATATAAATATTTATTAACTTATCTATCTTATACATCTCCTGTTGTAGCAACCTAAATACATCTATTAGTTTCAATGACTTTAGTTTCAATGACTTTAGTTTCAATAAAGTCATCATTCTTAAAGAACGCAAGATAAGTCCTGAAAATGCTGGATGTGGTATTTAAAATTGGTCAAGTCATTACAGGATTGAAGGGGGATATTGCAGCATCTAATTACCAGACTGCTATGACTTTTCGATTGTAATCACAAAGTCATTCTTGCATGGAGCACAGTTAGTCACAAAGTTAGACCTTTGCATCTTAATTTTGAGATACACATTTTGACTGTAGCATAAAAGAGTTCAATCTGATTTTTAACCAGTTCAGAGTGTATGGAAGGGAAGAATTACAGAAGATTTAGGCTAAGCTTCAAATTATGGTTTGGTTGCTACTTAATGAAACCTGGTCTGTATTATAGTATATGGTAACTAAGATTGGAAAAAAGTTTGATATTTCTGGCACAGTTCAATATTATATTCAGCAAAGTTACCTCTTCGAAAAATTAAAATCCTGAAATGATGTTAGGAAGAGAACAGAAAAGGTTAAAGCCATGTTATTGTGATTGTTAATGTTGCAAACAGAAATGTTATTCAATGAAACTTGGTCTGTATAGTGATAGTACCTAGGATTGGCAAAATGTTTGATATTGAATGTAACATATGGTGTTATGGTGTAAGTTGAGGTGGGTGTTATTAAAACATAATAACACATATTGAACACTTGTTTATTCCATAATGCTTCAATAAATACTGATCTTATTTCATAATTTAAAATCATTGCGTGAACAAGGTTATATATTTAGCTGACGTTGCAGTTATACTAACTGGAGCTCAAAATTTCATACATGTTTCTCTTGAAATCATGGAGATTGAAATTTTAGACTGGCAATATGAGTCAAGGGAATTTTGAATAATTCAAGGCTTTCTGTTAAGGCTTCAAACAGATTCCAATAGGTCAGAATACAACACTTTTAGGAATTGAAAAAGCATGTGGGTTGTTGCTGTAAGACTTCTTTTATAATAATAATGCCCTCAGCCAGTATGGAATGTCATGGCAATAGAATAGGACTGAACATCTATGTGGGTGGATGCTGTATTGCCTTTGGTCTGTGGAATGGAATTCAGTTATAAGAGGAACCCCACAGAGTTTGACATTATCTTTTAAGGCATTTTCATTATTTCTGATAACGTAGGCAATAAAATATTAATATTTCTATTCCTGATTCCATCTTTGTTTATGAAAAAACTCATAGCAGAGCAAGAGTTCTAATAGACCGAAACATCTGCCTCTATTCAAGCCTCTGATAGCTATTTTGAAAGTTGTTGGCTGAGACAGGAAAACTAGGCCCTGTTTTATGGGTATTTTAAACCTATTCATGTTAATCGCATCCACCAAACCCAGATATATTTTGAAAGATGGATATTTTTGTAGTTCATTCATACCATAATAATACTCCTACACCATTAACATCTGTGGTTCCATCAAATTTTTTTACAATAACTGATGTATCGTGTGTCATTTAAAACTGTGTGCACAGCCAAAACTTCAAGGGTCACAGAGTCATGTAAAAACCATCCAAGTTTCAGTGATGTCCAGCACTGATTTACAGTCATTGTAAAGCTAGTTTAATATATGACATAAAAAAACGCATCTTTGGACTTAAAATCCACATGAAACAGGACCTCATTTTTCTGACTCTACTTCAGCCAATAACTGTCAAAATATCTATCAGAGGCTGGAATAGAGACAGATGTTATGGACTAGTGTAATATTCAAAATTATACAAAACATAAAATAACTGTTAGTCAACTCAAAGAAAATAGAAAGAATGGGATAACTGTTTCACAAGAATAACTGAAGTTCTGAAGAACCACTTTATCTACCATGCTTCCATTTTCCTAAATATAAACATATATCACCGGTGCTTAAGGAACATGCCAGTCTTGGCATTGATCTTTCCAGAATCATCAGTTGGATTAACTGGAATAATGAGGAAAAATGAATTTTTAAATTCCAAATTTCACTCATCTTATCTCATAATTCTAGCTGACCATGAAAACAACAGGTTAAAGATCAATATTCACTGGGTACACTGAGATTAGAACCTCTAACATCTGGAGTCATAACATTATAACGCTCCACCAAATGAGCTACACACAAGTTTATATTTCTTGCTTTAATGCTGAGAATTTGGAATTGAAAAGATGTGTAAGATGTCAGCCATGTATGTAATAGATCTCACTACTTGTCTGTTTCTATCTAAGTCAGAATATCAATGAAGTTCTCCTGGTGCTGACAGAATTTTAATTCCCTTAATGTATATGTTACAACAATAACACAAATACATATTGACATGTCTCTCATGTACTGTAATAACATTTTCACAGTCCAAGATTTAGGATGTATATAAAAGTTTGAAGATGGACTTGCATATTGATTTGAAAAATGCATTGAGATTTAGAAATTCTCATCTCACCCTTAAGCATTTTGACCTATAGCGTTCCCATCTTATACCAGTTATTTTGAGCTCTAGTCAGACATGTTTCAGAATTGAGGTGTTGCTAGAGAATTTAGTCAGAAAATTGGCCAGTTTTTGTAGATGGTTGACATTAAAATATCTGAATGTGGAATTTCCAGTGAACACTCGTGCATATTACGACAGATTGGTTCTTTGCATTTATTCACTGAATGTGAGATTTTTTAACGGACATATTTAAAATATATGTCCATAATTTGATATTCCACTACATTTTTCATTAAATTTTTATTTCTATTAAATGAAAATTTTCAGAAAACATTGAAAAGTTTAGTTGTGCCACTATGCATGAAATAAATGTTTATTCACTGTAAGTGATATTCCTTCTATAGAATGTGGTCCCACTGTGCAGAAAATACAAGTTTTGAAACAAAATTGATATTTCAATTGTTAAAACTTGGAAGATGATGAAAAGAATTCCAATCATTAGATATTGCGTTCTGTTGAAAATAAATCAAGTGTAGTAAGAATTAATGTTGTAAAAATATCAATCATGTTTCAATTGATCAGTAATCAAATGAAATAATACACAAGTCTCCTGGGGGATTTTACATATCCTGTGTTTAATACAAGCTTGTATATCAGAATTTATAGAACTTTGTTCAGTAGCATTTAAAAAGGGCTGTACCCTTGATGATGGGGAAAGGAACAACATGATTTCACTTATCTGATGTGTGAGGATTTTCAAAGGTGAATTTTTTGGAGTCGCTAGCATTTGTAGTTAAATCTTGAAATTTCCCTGTCTAAGAGAAGCAAAAAAAAAGGCCACGGCTGCATTTTGACCTGATTTTTGTTCCTATCTCACCACTATTTCAATTGATTCCCTGTATGAGGAAAAGAGAATGCTGTGGCTGTGTAAAAAGTGATCTGGGGAAAGGAACAACATGATTTCACTTATGTTTTGGCAATAATGTCAGAATGTCTGATGTTTGTAGATTCTCAAAGGTGAATTTTTTGCGAGTCGCTAGCATTTGTAGCTAATTCTTGAAATTTCTTTGTCTCAGAGAAGCAAAAAAAAAAGGCCATGGCTGCATTTTGAAATAATTTTTTTCCCTGTCTCATCCTCAATGTTGAATTATTGACCTCCCTTTAACTTTTGACCATCAAATGTCAGAAATATCATTAATTTACCTAGTAGACTGAATCCTCCCTCACAAACTTCTGTTTTTAATGAATTTAATCTACCTTTCTTTGTTAACCTTTTCATTCTCTTTTTAAAATGTCTAAGATAGTCTGGAAAATTTAAATTTAAGGCTGAGAATATGTTTTCCTTTTCTTTGTGTAGACAATAGCTTGTCTGATGCTTGTGTATCATGTGTTTCAGATATATAATCCTCATCATGACAATTAGGGCCTTACTCTTAAAAACTTAGCTTACTTCAGAATGTAATTTGATTGTATGAAAGGTTATGTGTTTGAGAATAAGACTCCAGGTTATTATATTGTGTTTAAGTCCAATAGAACACAGAGCTTAACCATCTACACTTTCACAATGAAATTTTACAAATTCAGGGGCCTGTTGTAAGAAACATTGTCAATGAAATGAATGGAGTTTAACGTGCTTCTCTTCTGTACTTGAATAGGCTAAAGAAGACAGGGGAAACATTGTAATTATATGATAGTCCTAAATGAATTTGCTTATAAATAGAAATGAAATGTAGAATTCTTTTAAAACAATGTTAAACTGAGAAGCACTATCTTCATGCCTCTTTTGATCAAATCTTTATAGCATTATAGTCTTCAATAATGAATTACGAATTATAGCACAACTTTTGAAGCTTCATTCAGAAATCTGCCTAATCTAATCAAGTCTAACATCAAAATACCTCGTAGCAAGAATGAAACGTGTAAAAATTGTTCCATGACGTAAGGTAATCCTGTAATTATAGCTCTAATGAATAGAATAATTCAATCAATTACCGCCAAAACCACTTTATCAATTTATCGTGAAACTTGTCGACTGCGATACTGTAATTTGGCTGTGGTACTGTGATTAATTTCATTTTAGTATGATCTCGTCTTAGTCCTAGACGTCTTGCATCTTATTTGATTAACAAGTTGCAGTTACGCGTAAAATTGGATAAGACATTTTGATATATGTCGTTAAGTTGACAAGAGAAGAATAACGAGGCTAGTCTTTGAAGTCAGCGCGTTAATTAAGATATTTTTTCTGTTCGATTACGTTTCAATGTAATCGTATAGTGACACTCTGATGGCATTGTGGCCTAAAAAAAAATCAGAAGGTGTTAAAAATATAAAGTTGAAAGAGAATTATGCACTCAGTAATCTTTTAAGTTCTTTAAGATCTTTGGTGATAATGTGTCAGTTATGAATGGTGTATCTTCACAATGTCAAGATATTACAGACTTTGTCTTCACAATGTCAAGATATTACAAACTTTGTCTTCTACCTTGACTACAAGATGAAGTTTGTAATAGCTTGACATTGTGAAGATGAAGTTTGTAATTGCTTGACATTGTGAAGATGAAGTTTGAAATAGCTTGACATTGTGAAGATGAAGTTTGTAATAGCTTGACATTGTGAAGATGAAGTTTGTAATAGCTTGACATTGTGAAGATGAAGTTTGTAATAGCTTGACATTGTGAAATATGAAATTTGTAATAGCTTGACATTGTGAAGATGTGAGTGGTGCTGATCATTTACAAGATGTCATAAGCTGAATAATTGGCAATTTATTCAAGATACCGTTTATATTTTATTCAAGATGTACATGTATATTATATATTTATTTGTATCTATATGGCCTACCGAATAAACATTATTATTATTATTATTAATTGGCAATGTAAATTTTGCTAGCTCTGAATAAAGAAAATCTACCAAATATGTGTGACTTCTGTTGCAAATGTCAGGGTTTCCACTTAAAAAATATCAATAACTTTGTCACAGACAGCAGCTGAAACATTATTTTTTATGTCTTGCTCAATATGAGCTCTGCCAAGTAAAAATATTACAAAATTGCTGTCATGGATGATGGATGGCCATGTTTTTCAATTTACACAGGTGTATATTACTTTCACCACAATCTCTTCTTGTAGTAAGAAAATTTTCTTGATATGTCAATAGTTCTGTTTGTAAGGTGTTTTGCATGTTGGAAAAAAGTTTCATGCTGATTTTGACATGACAATATGCTTTTATCTTGACATGTCAGAGCTGTTTTGACATGTCAGAGTTCTTTTGACATGTCAGAGTTGTTTTTGACATGTCAGAGTTGTTTTTGACATGTCAAGAATTCTGTTTGAAATGTGTTCTGCATGTTTTAAAGATAATGATCTATATTGTATTTGACATGTCAATAGTGAAGTGTTTTGCCTGTCTGTTAGAGTCTTGATTGTCTTCAGCTGTTTGGAGATAAGAAATAGTTTGGAGATCAAGTAGGTTGACCCTTGGGGCGGGTAAAATGACATGAAATGCATTAAGGAGCATCAGCACCAAACGGGCTATATAGCTCCAAGTGAAATGCGATGGATGGATGAAATACAACTCACCAATGGCAGCTTTTCCCCAAATTTCAACAACAACTTCATCTGTAATATTATCCTTACTGTCTAGCGGACTTCTTTTTCCAAGAACTCTTTCATTCATTCCCCAGTTAATCTCTGGAGCTTCATGATGTAAAGCAGGCAATCGATCCTGATCTTTTTCAAATTCCATTCCCCATGGGTTCCATTTTAAGTCGTCTGATTTGTCTGGAAATACAAGAAAAAACATTAAAGTTAAATGAAAATGACATTGAAGATCTTACTCATTCCTTTACAGTACAATATATTAGTCTAATGAAATATCAATGGCATGTACTTTTTTTTGATGGAGTTTTATATTTTTAAGTAGGTGTATAGTTCCAGTGAAATGAATGAAGGTTTTATATTGTTCTGCACTGAATATTTAGTATATTTTTTTTTAAAGACAATTGAAATATCAGCCTCAAACTAGTATTGTTTGATAGTAAATATGATCTTTTGTAAGTTTACATTGAAAAGAAATTTCAACCAGGAAAGTACAAAACTTTGACTGAAAATTGTCCTCTGTAAAATCAAATTTTGAAGACATAAAATGTCCTGCTTCGTTTTCCTTAATCGAAATATTGTTATCAACACAAAGAAATTCTTAGACTAACAGAACTATTTTTTATTTAACACAAATAATTCAAAAAATTCAAAATAACTTTTTACTTTGCTCGGACAATAACTGTATTAATGACATGAATGTTTTTTAATCTTCTCATCTGAACCTTATCAGATTAGAAAACAATTAGCAAATTGATTTTATACATCCTACTGTTGTTTGGTATCTAACTGTCAACTCTTAATTACTTTTTGAGAGTCCACCAAGGAAATCCTGGTATTTTAGAAATTAGGAAAGAAGGAGTAATATCCAGAACAATGTTTTTTGTAACTAGAATCTATGGTCCTGTTAGTTATTTTTATGATAACACCCTGTGTATGATGTAACACATCTTCTTTATAACCAATGATTGATAGGTTATACAACTCTTTCTAGCATTTTATTCTTCCCTGACATTTAAACTGGATTACCAAACAGAATTGGCATTATTTTCTGTCTTACCCTGCTTATTAATTGGCTTAATCAAATTTGCTGATCTATTAGAAAGGTGAAGGTCGTTTCCTCCATAACAACTAATCTCAGTGGACCAATCATGTCCGATCTAGAGTCTATTGTCTTTCATTATAAAATAACCGAATGTCCCGAATGATCAATTGTTCCTGGTGGCAGTATGGTATTGATGTGATATGGTATATGTCAAGGGATAAGATACTGTCTGTGAGATTCTGACATACGATATGATATGGTTTATGTGTTACATATTGTACAGGAAGATTTAAGAAGTGTTCTGATGAAAGTAAATAGCAAGAAGGTAATTTGAAAAAATTAGTCTGGCTTCAAGTGAGTTTCAGAAAGAAGTCTTAAGACGGAATTTTAAGAGACAAAACTGCTTTTATATTAATTATATAAAGCAAGATATTTTATGGTATTGTGAATCTTATTTGAAAATAAAATTTTATCAATTCTCAGTCTAAAAGCTACTGTAAGATTTTTAGACTAAGCAACCATATCCTTGTTTTAAGACCTGGAACATCTCAAATTTAACTTTGAAAAAAATGTATTTAACTGATAGTTAATAAAGTGAATAAGAAATAAAAGTATATTTTCGGTCCTTTATTTCAGTTGAAACTACTCCAACAACCAAGTACCCTACTTGAAAAACCGAAGACTAGCAGAGGCAGATAGCAATATCCCAATTATCCAAATTTCACATAAAAGCCATGTTGTCAAGTTATTTTCAATAAAATGCAGCTGAGGTCAGTTGAGTAGCAGTTTTACACACTTCAGATAGCTAATCCGACAAATTACACGATTTCGCATCAAAACTCCTTTCACTATCAATTGGCTTGTCACTTCAAAACTTGACTGGATTTCAAAACAAATCGGATAAAAATAAATAAATGAACTTTGAAGTTCTTGTTAAAATAGATTTTTCTCAAGATGGTTGCTTTAAAACACTCAGGAAACATGAAAAAATATTGACAAGTGCAGTGAACCAATGAAAGTGCAAGTATTTTTTAACGATTACTACGGATGATGTCATAGTTCGTGCACGAGACAAGCAATCTGTCAATTTGTAGGACTTTTTCATTCTCGTTTCCAGAGAAATTGAACACAATATCGGCAATTTCTATCGAGAGTTGCATGACACCTGTCAAAAAATCGTCAAATCGTACAAAATTGCATGTATCAATGACAGTTATTGATTATCAGTACGGATATTTCAATATTTCACATGACTAGGGGCAATATTGGGTTAAATTGATAAAATGAAATGATGAATTATGATAGTTTTTACCTCTTTGTGTACCTTACTGAGGTAATGAAATAAATTGGATTTTGTTTAGTAAACTTTAAAAGCTGATTGATATTTACAACTTGTTACTTATTACACTGATGAAAACCCACTGTTTTATATGTTCTTGTGCTGCTGCTACAAATGGAGTTTTACATCCAATCATTCTATATACTGTGTAAATGACAAGATGATAGTGTTATACATTTTATTGTGTTATCTATTATTGTGCCAATAAAATGAAATTTACTTTAAAACCTTGTGTTCTAAAACATATTTGGCCAATGAAAAAGAGTTTTACATCCTACTGCATTACTATTCCTTATTGCATTGAAATAAAACATGACATTCTCCTACTTTGCATTTCATTCAGCTAATGAATTGAAATGGAGATTTGCATCTTGTTCTTGCCAGTTGATATAATTTAATGAAATGGATTGTTACTCTCCATGTTCTACATCTCATTGTCCTAATGAATATCACCAATGACATGTACAGTGAAATGAAGGTAATTTTACTGCAAGGTAAATGACACACCTACTCAATTGAAGTTATTCTAACTGTCTGGGGATCTGAAACATGCAAGTCCGGAAGCACCGATCAACAATTGATAAAACTCTTCATTTGTAAATAAGTCCCTGATATGAAATATGAATTTTAATAATGTCTAACATGGAGTAAGAAAGTCTATATTTAATATTAAGGTTTCATGTTATTGTGGCATGATTGTTGATACCCAGCACAAATTTCCTTACTTGGTTTGATATGATAGAAATCTTCTCTGAAACCAAATAAATACAAAATTCACAGCATGAAATAGTTATTAATTTCTGCAGAGAAACTAATTATATCTAGTGCTTCTAAGGGGATCTTGTTCTTATTAGCATTAAATTACAAGCTAAGATGAAGTCTTGATAAATAGTTTCCATATTTGATAACAAGGCAAGCTATAAAAATGAAACCAAAAGAATTCAACTGAACACAAAGAAGTCAATTCTGATTAGAACTTATTTGTTATGAAATGAAATGAGATAAAAAGGTGCAACTCTTCAAAAAGTAACAAGACAAAATGTCCTTATTCTAAAACATGACTGACAGTAATTGCCTGTCTCATAATGTCACAGAAAATCAACCTCTTTTAAAATTCTGTCCAGTGACATTTAATAAAGAAGGTGTATTGATGTGCTGTCACTTACAGACTGTTTAAAATACTGTACAAGTTAATATAGTTCTACTGACTTCTACATTGAATAATAAACATCAGACTGGTATAGAATAGTTAAATAGTTCTTGAGTCATGGTGCTGTCAGTTGAAGTTAGTTGACAAGACAGTGAGAAGTCCATCACAATTTGTTGACTGATATTTTTTTAAAATAAGCCAAGGACTGGTACCTTCTTTTGAACCTATTATAATACTGAATCAAAAATTGAAAATTATCAATCTGAATTCTGAATCATACCAACTCTGGTGTCTTTTAGCTTTAAGCAGCAGCCTTCTATATAATCTGTTCATCTACTGTCATGGAATTAAGAATCTCAAGTCTCAAGTTCCTCACGACCGTTTTTGAGTTTTTTTTCAAGAATATGTCAAATATATGTTGACATATGAACTGTTGTTTACGATCTACAATTTAAGGAATTATACCTTTTTCTTCAATATTTCACTTCATTCCTTGAATCTTGAAGTTACCCAACTGCTTATTTTTTTTTCATTTCTTTAAGCCTCGTAACTTTTGTAAAACTTTTTCAATAACTGTATTAAAAATTAGTTTTAGAATTTGAAATCAATAAGCTGTGTTCTACCTCAGAACATGTGAACTATTGTTTATTATCTACAAACTAAAGTCTTTTACCATTGTGTCAAACCATTGTCAAAAAAATTCATTCTTAAAATCTTGAATGGTCAATCTGTCAGATACAGAAAGTGTTGAAAAGTTACCCAACATATCCATCATTGTTTTTTCCTTATAAGCCAAGGCCTTTTACATTCTTAAAAAAGCTTTTTAACTACTGTATCATGAAAAGTTCTTAGAAATTGGAATCACTATTCTGTCATTTACAGAAAGTTGATCAGGTTACCCAGCTTGGAAAAAATATTTAAAACTTCGAATTTTTATCCTTTCTTCGCGTGAAGGAAAATGGCTGGGTTTAATTTCAAGGGACATGATAATCTGATCTATACCACTGCTAAAATCCCAGAGGGCCGAGGGCATTGATAAATTAATTAAAAATGGCTCTCAGGTGTTCACGCCCACATTATCTTCATCCTGTACAAATTGATACCATTCTCTTTAAATATCCAGTCTTTATATGTCTACAGGGACAGATCTAATGGCAGCTCTACTTTCGCTTTCAGATATACAAGTCTAATGGCCTGTTCTACATTCACTGCGATACCAGCATCTTCTCGGAGCTGACATTAACTTGTCATCTACCACCAACATTCTACTTTCAGAAATAAAAGTCAATGGCCAGCTGTACTTTCATATTGCCTTCAGATATAAAAGTTCAACTTTCATCGTGCTGCAAAGTAATTCTAATGATTTGAGAAATAGCTACAAGGGGATAGTTATATAAAAGAAGAGTAAGTTAATAGAGATAGTTAGAGATATCAGATGACAAGTATACAACTATAATCTAAGTTTGGTGTACACTGCTGTTGAGGAAATGCAATCTGGAGAGGAAAGGCACCTCCAAAATTGCCTGACTATTCCTAAGATTTGTCAGCCTGGGGGTTGAGAGACATAAAAATGGCTACAAGGAGATAGTTATAAAACAGAAGAGTAAGTTGATGATAGCAGATGACAAGTAAACAGCTAATCTAAGTTCGGTTTACACTGCTGTTAAGGAAATGCAAGTTTGCATCAGTAACAGAGGAGATATTGATTCACATATTATCATATTAGCCAGTCATGTCTGATGGTCATTTTGATTTAGGTCTGTAAGATAAAGGCCTAACAAGTATCTATAAATTCTATTTTAAAATCAAGATGAATATAGTTTCAAAATTAGACTTATGCTAACATCTTATGCTCTTGAAAACTCAAAGCAAAGGAATTTAAGAATATTTCATGCAGCCCTATCGCCAGGAATGAGTTGGTGCTGGGGCTCAGATTTTGTACTCAAGACGGCCCAGATATCTCACTTCTGACAATTTTGAGGTGCCAAAAACCTATCAAAATCTATATCTTTTTGATTTTGTACATAGATGTTGTAAATGAATCAATCTCTGATGAACTGAACTGAACTGCGGCTTAATTCCCCCTTGCTAGGGCCCAGCCCCCACAAACCCCACCCTAACGACCGGGCTGATTTCATGTGATTTGTTACATTATTTCTTTATATCCAACGATTGCAGCAATTTAATGCTCAGGCACACAAACAGGTTTTTGTTATATATAGTCGTCGCCTCTGTCTGTCTCCCCGTCCGTCTGTCTATCCACAATGGTATAGGGAAATGGTTTCTTGATAGATTTTGACAAAATTTGGTGTGAGTGTTTGTAAACATCCAAGAATGAACCCTTTTGAAAATCAGACAAATTGAAAAATATTTAATGAGTTATTACCTTTGTGAACCCAATCGAAAATCAAAAAAAAAGAGAAAAAGGCTGTGAATAAAGAATTTGTATATTTAAATATTTAATTTACTACTAGATCTTGTCAACCTCTCGGACGACTTGGCTACCATAACAACGGTGGGTGTATTATGATGACCATCATATCATGTTATCAGTAACATGATAATCTTACTGGGAAAGCTCGTGCCCACAGAAAAATGAAATGAAAAGAATGGAGTTTTACGTCCTACTTTCTGCACCATGTGGGCTAATAAAGACGGGCAACGCCATGCAGGGTACAATGAGGGAAATTTTGCCAGGACAGCGGCATTAGCCTCTTCTTTTTCGATTTCCAACTGTAGAGGGATCTTTAACGTGCACTTTCTGTAGCACACGGGGCCTCGGTTTATTGTCCCATCCGAACGACAAGATGCTTTTTCCATGTCAGCCCCTCTTACCTGTATCACTGACAAGGTGAAACCGGGTTGAAAAACCCCGAAGGTATCATCTCGACCTATGCCAAGATTGATCCCTAGACCCTCAGGATAGTGAGCAAAGTTTTAACTCACTGAGCCACTGCAGCTCCCTCAAGCCCACGAAAGATTTTACTCCCAACCTAAGATTACCATGTTACATCATCAGTATTCAAACCCTCAGATCTTTAACAATGTTGTTCCTTTCTTTGATTCCATAGTTTCCGGTATTTTTTCTTTTCATGTCACAAATGTTGAATTACACTCGTTAATTTCTCTCTCCAACGTTTCATTTCTTCCTGTCATAAATGTGACTTTCATGTTTTTTGACCGAATGTTAAAGACTAGGTTTTCAGTAATTGGATATTTATGTCGATTTGGTAAAAGATTCCAGAAAAAAGTTGAGAAAGCTTTCAATATGTAATCTGATAATAGAGCACTTTTCACTTAACTGATAATTCTAAAATGATCTCGACTCAGTGAATAAATCAATGAAATAAAACAGGGCATGACGATCAAGATGATTTTAAATTCATTTTAAGATAGTTAAAGACTCGACTCTTGATTAAAATTTTGTTAGTAACTATAATAACTTTTCATTTAAAAAAAAGACCCACACCCCTAATACATCATTCTTTTATTTCACATATATTACACACAACTGGCGTCTTATTTATAATTCTCTATTCTCTAAGGACCATAATCACCATTAAGAAAGGCAGTAATTTTGTCCTAAAAGACAATTCCTGAGAACCAAGGGACCAATAATAAAAAACATCAACTGATAGTAATACACTTCTACAACATGGGTAGTAAACTGTGGATTTTAAAAACCTTAGGGTGATAATCATTCAATAAAAATTGAAGTCTTTGATAAAAAAAATCATAAACTTGTCATAAATAGTACTATGTTAAAAGCAGAAATGTAACTTTGGTTATAATGCTAATTTTATTTAAGCATCAAAGATTCCCCATAGACTTCGTTCGGTGGGATTTTTCATTGAATATATTTCAACTAACAAGGTGCACTGTTATCTGAAAATGTTGGCTCAGCTAATGCACTGATACTCTTATGATCTCTTCTGTGCGAAAAGTCATATTAGAATTATGGTTAAATCAAAAAGCAAAAGATCAAAATATTTCCATATTTGAACATTTCTCCAACAAAATATAGCACAAACCAGTTCAGATACAAATCCAATTGAGTATTTCTATAAAAATCGTATGTCATGACTCTTTTGAGCAATAGTCTATTGAGCAGTTGTCCATTAAGCAGATTACAGTAAAATAGTAACTAGTTTTTATTGTAAATTTAGATTCATTGAAATGAAATGAAATGGAAGACACTATTTTATTTTATTTTGATGTGAAAGCTATTAAATACAAATGTTTTTAAAGTTTAATTTTGTATAATGTCAGAATTGAGAAATGGATTGGCTAATAAGAGATATAATAGACATTTAATGGACTGGTTTTTATTGTCTATATCAGACACAGATCAATTCTTATAAAATTACTCAAGATATTGTGTCTGGTAAGATCTTTTGTCTGGTTTTTGTTACTTTTGAGAAAATCTCTTTCATATTGAACTTATACTTATTTGCCAGTCATTATAATTGTTGTCTAGTCCTTTAGCATTACTTTTTCGAAACCTCTTTGTTTTTTACTACTGTTTGAGGAAGAATTGTTGCTATTGTTTGTAAGTCTTGCCTAGTTTCAACTTCAAAATGTTGAGCTCTAGTTGAATATGAACAGAAAAAAAAATGTTATAAAAACGATTAAGCATTTATCCTCTTTATTATTTCTTTGGTGTCCATTAAGCAACTCTCAGGTGAGCAAATCATTAAGATTTGAGTTAAAAGTCAAAGTACTCATTAGGAATGACTACCAAATAAATTCACTCCTATATTAAATTATACATAATGACAAAATTAGTTTCAAAAAGGCAGAGAAACAAAAATATCAATGAAAGCCTCAGTGTGAACATGACATTGAAACATAATGAATATTCAAGACAAATTATTGAACTCTCTAATTAAGTTATATTCCAACTTTCTATGAATTGAAATCATTAATTTCTACACAACTTTTTTCAGATTTAATTAACGAGAAGGATGTTTGAATAATTATTGGTGGCAGCACCAGTGTAGGTTCACGAGAGGCAGTCGATTCCTCAGAATAGTTTGTACCACCAATTGTATCCCCACTTCAAGAAATTTCAAAATATGATTTTTATATTTTTTTCCCCAAACTTTGTGTCAGAATTTGTACCATGAGCTGCAAGGTGTTGGCACCTCCAATTCAGATAACTAGAGTGAAAATTTCATAAAAGTTGACTTTTCACATTTTCTGCAAACATTACGTCTACAGAAATGGTGGGATCAGATGTTTTGCTTCTTTGAAAGAAATCCTCACATGATTTAGGTGTCTGGCTTGTTAAATAACGAGTGCAAAAAAATTTAAACAAGACACAGCTGCTATAGAGTTAACTGTACTTGCTGATAGTCTCATATGAGCTCTAGTTATTTCAGAATTGACTGTGGATCTTATTATGGTTGTGCGGAAATAGAATTCTGCTTTACAATTTAACAGAGCCATTTTTTGTAAACATATAAACTTTGAATATTGATATAAAAGATAAATTATAGTAAATAAAAGGTTCATGTCAAAGTCTGTCATATTCTGAGTATGTCTCTAACACATTTACAATTATATTAAAAAGTGGCAGTCTGAAATATGTCCTTATACCTTTTTCTGAAAGTTTAAACTAAAAGTATCGCACAGTTAATTTGAAGAACACCGAAGTTATATTTCCCCTTTAACTGAAAGTATGATATCATACACCTGGTGCAGAACCACCTTCAATTTGTATATTAAGAGGAGATTTATAAATAGCTGACAAATTGACATGTATAGTATATTCATACATCTATGAAATAATTAATTACATGCAATTTTATAATTCTACATGTTCAGTGATTAAATTCTTTCATACATGACTAAATTCTGATGAAACATACATATTCTATTTAATATTGCCAGCAATGACTGGCATTCTCTCTTGCCTGGCATTCTCTCTTGTCTGGCATTCTCTCTTGCCTGGCATTCTCACTTGTCTGGCATTCTCTCTTGACTGGCATTCTCTCTTGTCTGGCATTCTCTCTTGCCTGGCATTCTCACTTGACTGGCATTCTCACTTGTCTGGCATTCTCTCTTGCCTGGCATTCTCACTTGCCTGGCATTCTCTCTTGCCTGGCATTCTCACTTGACTGGCATTCTCACTTGTCTGGCATTCTCTCTTGTCTGGCATTCTCACTTGACTGGCATTCTCTCTTGCCTGGCATTCTCACTTGTCTGGCATTCTCTCTTGCCTGGCATTCTCACTTGACTGGCATTCTCACTTGACTGGCATTCTCTTTTGACTGGCATTCTCTCTTGTCTGGCATTCTCTCTTGCCTGGCATTCTCTCTTGTCTGGCATTCTCTCTTGCCTGGCATTCTCTCTTGCCTGGCATTCTCACTTGTCTGGCATTCTCTCTTGTCTGGCATTCTCACTTGACTGGCATTCTCTCTTGCCTGGCATTCTCTCTTGTCTGGCATTCTCTCTTGTCTGGCATTCTCTCTTGCCTGGCATTCTCTCTTGTCTGGCATTCTCACTTGTCTGGCATTCTCACTTGTCTGGCATTCTCTCTTGTCTGGCATTCTCTCTGGTCTGGCATTCTCTCTTGTCTGGCATTCTCTCTTGTCTGGCATTCTCACTTGTCTGGCATTCTCTCTTGTCTGGCATTCTCACTTGTCTGGCATTCTCTCTTGTCTGGCATTCTCACTTGTCTGGCATTCTCTCTTGTCTGGCATTCTCACTTGTCTGGCATTCTCACTTGTCTGGCATTCTCTCTTGCCTGGCATTCTCACTTGCCTGGCATTCTCACTTGCCTGGCATTCTCACTTGCCTGGCATTCTCGCTTGCCTGGCATTCTCACTTGCCTGGCATTCTCACTTGCCTGGCATTCTCACTTGCCTGGCACTCTCGCTTGCCTGGCATTCTCACTTGTCTGGCATTCTCGCTTGCCTGGCACTCTCGCTTGCCTGGCATTCTCGCTTGACTGGCATTCTCACTTGCCTGGCATTCTCACTTGCCTGGCATTCTCACTTGACTGGCATTCTCACTTGACTGGCATTCTCTCTTGTCTGGCATTCTCACTTGACTGGCATTCTCACTTGACTGGCATTCTCACTTGTCTGGCATTCTCTCTTGTCTGGCATTCTCACTTGACTGGCATTCTCACTTGACTGGCATTCTCACTTGTCTGGCATTCTCTCTTGTCTGGCATTCTTTTCTGGCATTTTCACTTGTCTGGCATTCTCACTTGACTGGCATTCTCACTTGTCTGGCATTCTCACTTGACTGGCATTCTCACTTGTCTGGCATTCTCACTTGTCTGAAACTCGTGATAAATGAAATATGACGTCAATATCGTAAAAACTCCATTTGGGCTTGAATGGCATTTGTGATTGTGATGTCATGAATTTTTTAATTGAAAGAACCACAAAAGTCCAACAGAACTCTGATTTGTGCAAATGGAAGCTAAAAGTGTACCTGATATTCATAGGAAAAAATAAATCACACGATAAGTTGCAAACGGTAGGTAAAAAGTCGATACAATTAGAGAGGCTACGTTTGAGGACAAATCCCTTTATTAAGTGAAAAAAACAAAAAACAAGAGTAGGCGAAGAAAGGTGCAATCTCTACGAAGAACAACACTAATCACAAAAGTGGCACATTTAGACTATAAAACATCTTAACAACCCCTTTCAGCAATCTAAAACTAATCCAAAGAACTAATATAAAGATATAAACATGAGGTTGATTTCTATTCATGGTGGAAACCGGAAAACAATTATACACCAGACAGTAATGGTTGGAATATTAAATCAGGTCAGAAAGGTCAACTTGGCATTCTATTACAGAAAGTGGAAAGACAACTCCCTATATTCCAGGCCAAATTTATGGAGGCACACACAAGGAACTTTGGAAATATTCTGTAAGCCATACACAGAATATGGAATGTGATAAACACCAGTTGTCAATCCACGATAAGGTTTGTCAACTCAACATCACTTCCAGAAAGTCTTGATAGCTGAATATAAATTTGATGTTAGATAGTGATGTTTCATAAAAGCACTGACCTGAATACCCAATATCAGAATTTGCTAGAGCATCAAAGCACATATGAAACAACACCTGACACTATTCTGCAACTGAGATTGTCAAGTAGACGCACTCTCTCTACAGACTCAACATAGCAAAAAACATTCATTTGAAAAATTTGGCACTGGGCAATATTAGATTTCAAAAGAATTTCATTTAGGCCATAAATTTCGCTTACAGGCTTGGTAAATATCATTATTGACAAATAAAGTTAATCAATATCAATTCAACTGTTTTTTTTTTTAGATAACTATTACTTTGTGACAGTTATGAATTATTGTATCTACTCTGTAAGCTAATACATTAAAGAGACACCTTAAAGATCCCTCCACAATTGGAAATTGAAAAAGAATAGGCTAATACTGCTGTCCTGACTAAATTTCCCTCATTGCACACTGCACAGCATTGTCATAACAGGTGCAGAAAAAAAGGACGTAAAACTCATAGCATTTCAATTCTTTAATATTTGCACTTGTATTTAATAGATGTTTATATAAATTATCCCTTTCACTAAAACCAGATTGACTATAATGTCAATTGATATCATGAATTCAACCTATGAAGTTTAATTGCAATTAATATAATCATAATTAGTGTAGTACATCTAAATTGCAGAATTATGTAGATCTGACATGCAGATTTACAAGAATAATACTTGATATTGATATTCTAGTTTATTTTTAGGACATTTTAAATGATAATGTTCACCAATTAGGCAGGATCAAACACTTTCTATGACCTTTAGATAGACATGTCAGTACAACTACCTCTTTATTATCTGAAAAAATATTCATAACAGGGAAGTTATTATCAATGTCAACTCCCTAAAACCTATTAATAACCAGATAGGCCTAGTTTCAGCTGTTCTAAAACCAACATCATCAAAGCATTCTGTTTCAAGAACGTATTTTACTGATGAAAAATGAAAAATTTTGCACCTATGACAAATGAAAGTCCTGATCCTAAGATTAATATTCAAAATAACTGCACAAACAATACTCTCTCACTAGAGGTTACACCTACAGGCCTGTGCCTTCGTAACATTACTTAACCGCAATTTTAAAACCCAAAATTTCGAAGATATATAAGACGTAGAAAAATAATCGACTGACCATATACCTTTAACTATTATCAACCAATTATCAGACTGAGAGAGTAACAGATTGTTTTACTGATAATATTGTCATTAAATCATTGAAAATATATCATCATTATATATACACTATGGTGCTGTCAGTAACCTCATATATGTCATGTCATGTCATAGAGTATAACTATATGATAAACAAGTAATTATATTATAGTTCTGTTTATATTAAATGTATGTCACTGTCATAGAGTATAACTATATGATAAACAAGTAATTATATTATAGTACTGTTGATATTAAATGTATGTCACTGTCACTGTCATAAAGTATAACTATATGATAAACAAGTAATTATATTATAGTACTGTTGATATTAAATGTATGTCACTGTCACTGTCATAGAGTATAACTATATGATAAACAAGTAATTATATTATAGTTCTGTTGATATTAAATGTATGTCACTGTCATAGAGTATAACTATATGATAAACAAGTAATTATATTATAGTTCTGTTGATATTAAATGTATGTCACTGTCATAGAGTATAACTATATGATAAACAAGTAATTATATTATAGTTCTGTTGATATTAAATGTATGTCACTGTCATAGAGTATAACTATATGATAAACAAGTAATTATATTATAGTTCTGTTGATATTAAATGTATGTCACTGTCACTGTCATAGAGTATAACTATATGATAAACAAGTAATTATATTATACTTCTGTTGATATTAAATGTATGTCACTGTCATGGAGTATAACTATATGATAAACAAGTAATTATATTATAGTTCTGTTGATATTAAATGTATGTCACTGTCACTGTCATAGAGTATAACTATATGATAAACAAGTAATTATATTATAGTTCTGTTGATATTAAATGTATGTCACTGTCATAGAGTATAACTATATGATAAACAAGTAATTATATTATAGTTCTGTTGATATTAAATGTATGTCACTGTCATGGAGTATAACTATATGATAAACAAGTAATTATATTATAGTTCTGTTGATATTAAATGTATGTCACTGTCACTGTCATAGAGTATAACTATATGATAAACAAGTAATTATATTATAGTTCTGTTGATATTAAATGTATGTCACTGTCACTGTCATAGAGTATAACTATATGATAAACAAGTAATTATATTATAGTTCTGTTGATATTTAATGTATCTCACTGTCACTGTCATGTCATAACATACACTGACTATATATCTCAATGGAATTGTGTTGATAATTAATGAATATTTATTTAACTCTCTTAACACATCAATTTCACATACCTTTGAGTAATATCATCTGAGAACAGAAAAGAGAATTTGATGTCCAATGATTGGTCGAATTCCATTGATTGGTCAAATGAAGACAGGCAATGCCATACACTGTGCAATAACGAGATGAAATTGAATTTGTCCTCCTTTTCTAAACCTGATTGAGCTAAGGAAGATGGACAATGTCATGCAGTTTGCAATGAGGGAAAGTTGCCAGGTTGGTAACATTAGCCTTGTCATTTTCGATTCCCAATTGTCAAGAGATCTTTAACTTGCAAAGCCCATAGCACAACAGACAAAGTAAGTAAAAACATTTCAAATCAGCATTTTCTGAACCAGTTTTTTCTTAATACCTACACTATATTTTTACCTGAACAGACATCACAGACTATCAACGAAGATCAATAGTTAGTGAGAGATATAGTGATGTAGACTGTAGATTTACCTGGGACAGTGTCAATAAGATTAAAAATTCATGAGGTCTGTCTAATATATAATGTCTATATTGGATAAATCTCACTACAAACACAAGCTAGATCAGACACTTTACACAAATATCTTTCTGGCTTTCACAGATTATCTACAAAGTGAAAAGATTATCTGAAATCTTCAACAACAGAGGCTTTTAATACTGTATTATGTTATTATTATATCACATTATATGTTGACAGAATTTATTATGATATATCATTTATCTTGTATATATTTCATCATCAAAGAATATAGTTATCTGAGTGTTTGATTGATCAGCAGGTAGATCTCAATTTTATCCATTTGAAAGACTTTCTAAATTTGAAAATCAAACTATCTATTTAAGTACTACTTGATCCAAAAGTAATATTTTACCAGCAGTGGCAACTAAAGTCTTTAGTTTCCATAGGCCTCGTATCTAAGTATTCGATAGATCAATTTTCAGAAACTCAATTTCATCCATCTGTATAACTTTCCAAATTGAAAATCAAACTTTCTGTTCATGTACAATGCAATAAAAATTTTTTTTAATTAGCTAACTAACTTCAGGACCTTATTCTACTGTCATCATCAGTTAGATTATACTTATCATGATATAAATAATATTGCATTATTTATAAACAATATTTGTATTATATTCTAAATATCCAGTATATTTTTTTTATTATCAAAGAGTATAGTTAAGTTTATACTAAATATTAAAACAGAACCTTAAACATGTTGTTGTTTATAGACTTGTATTTTGCTCTTCAATATCCCTTGGTCAAATATGGTGTAATATTTGCAATGAAGTTATTATTTATTTAGTGGTTAAGGTGGTTGAAAAAGCAACTAGTTTTGAGCAAACCTGGCAAACTTGATTAAGCCAAAATTTTGTGGTGGAGTTTTTGTGTAAGTGATAAGGGCTTTTATCTAACAGGGTTTTTGTCATAATGCAAAATGGCAGGGGGTTGTTCTCCGTCCACTAGTAAACACAAGGTGAAGGTCAGGTGTTATCCTCTATGTTATAATAACATCATCTATTATACAGTCTTATCATGTAATATATATGATACATGAATCCTGTAAGATTAGAAACTAATTATAAAGTAATTAACTAGACTTATATCTTATCTGGTACCAGTATTATTAAAGTACTGGGTATTATTCTTTTCTGGTTTTTCTCTTGGATCTTAAAGCTGCTTGAGATAAAACCTGTGTTTGTCAAGAGATCTTTAACCCGATGGAA